TCCCGACTTGTTGATGTTTTTCTCAACATTTTCTTAGTAAAAAACTTCCCAACGGTACAGTCAATATACCATGCAAACATTATTCACATCTTTAAAAATACATTTGAGGAACCATAAAGGCACATATGAGTTAGACAAAAACAGCATGTAATGCGGAATTGCCACCATGTAGGATTCGAATTTAAATGTATTCTTCCCGAATATAAGAAAATGTTCAATAATACCTTCGTATTTTGTTGACGTATTTGTAATCGTATATAGCGAATTACTAACATCATTAAACTGTATTAAATACTTTGATAGACGTTTATTTTCTCAAAAATATTCCTGGTGTTGTTTCCTATTAAAGACATGATCAAGTTTCGGTCAGTGGCCCAGATATCACATGGGATATGTGTTCTATTTATAAGTTCAAAAGAATTTGTTCCTTTATTGTACGCTTTTAAGCATCCTTATTTTAAAGTACTTGGAAAGTAGTAACAAAATATTCATTTAATTGCCTTTAATTCGGTATTCCCCATAGAGTAAGATAGTTTTTGGTATAGGCTCCACATAATGGACTCGTTGATCTTTACATTAATGTCTTACTGTATTTTATTCGAGAAAAATTTTACAACCTATATATACCATGTAAATTTCATCACATAACAGAACTTATATTTTCAAACTAAATAAATTTTGATTTTATGGAAAATGTGAGCAAATAATGATGGCGATTAATCTTACTCTCCCTTTACGATTTCGTATTATTAAATTTAACTCTAATGAAAATATAAATTTATTTTCATATACAATAGTTTTTTCAAGGTAATGACAATCCAATTAATTGTAGAAAATTAACATATTTTGACAATTTTCCATAATTAACAATTACTTAAAGATATACGCTGGCCATTTTCGCCCAAAATATGTCCAAAAAGAACTACGAAGAGATGAAACCATAAAGGTTCGATATAAAATGTGTGGAATGCTAATATCTTTCAAAATATATTTTGCAAAATTTTCGCGTATTTTTCTTAAAATGTTCTTTCATTAAAAATCTTTCCACTTCAATTACAGACTTCTAACAGAAAATTTAAGTCAAATCGGTCCAGCCGATTCTTTAAAAAAAATTTTGCAAGATTTTCGCGGATTATTCTCAAAATTTTCGTTCATAAAAACCTTCCCACTGTAATTACCGACAAATGAAAGAAATTTTGAGTCAAATCGGTCCAGCCGTTCTCAATTGATGCGTTAGTATACATTTTTCTTGCTCCATTTTTTTATATATATAAATGATGCACCAAATGAATGTAATGAATTAGGTCAAGAATACTGTGTGTCAAGTTTCGTGAAAATCGGGTCAGATCTAGATATAGCTTCCATATATATTTTCGTCCGATTTAATGTAAATGGTGTACCAAAGTCCCTATATATCTTTCGATTTGCACGAAATTAGGAATATGGTACTGAATTAAGTCTAGAATGATGTGTGTTAAGTTTCGTGAAAATCGGTTCAGATTTAGATACAGCTCCCATATATATTTTCGTCCGATTTAATGTAAATGGTGTACCAAAGTCCCTATATATCTTTCGATTTGCACAATATTGGGCATGGCGTACTGAATTAAGTCTAGAATGATGTTTGCTATATTGGAAATCGGTTCAGATTTCGATATAGCTTCTACATTTTTTTCTTTCGATTTTATGTAAATTGTGCAATAAAGATCCAAAGTTTGTCCTATTGCCACACATTTCTGTACAATGAACTGTAGTTAATATAAATTAATCTTTTGCAAGTTTAGGTGCACCAAACCCCTCATGTTTATCAGATATATATTCAAATAATAAACGGGTGTCCGATTGATATTTGCTTTGAATTGATTTACATAATGTTGTCCCAGAATTACAGAATGACATGTTTATGGATCCAATTTCATTATACTTGCCCTTCAAAAATGTGACGTCTGTTAGGATTTATCTGTTGAATATACCCAAAGTAGTGAAGGGTATCACATAGTCGGTCCCGTCCTTACTGGTTTTTAATATTTATGTGTTTTAAGAAATACTTATAGATGTATAGCAGTTCAAATAATGTACCTTAAATTGCATTTTCGGTACATATCATACATTTTAATGTTTATAGTAAAATAGAGGTTATAACTGTATTTGGCAACTTGTCGTGATTTTTGATCAATTTTATTGTGCTCCGAAATATTTAAATTTTGTGATAAAATACGTGTCTGTGTATTAAAAAGTGTTTGAAAGTGTTTTTTTTTTATAATTTTGTTCATATTGTACTAATTGGTGTGGTAAATCATTTTTGATTAGTGCTAAGATAATTGTATTTTTTCAGTCTAAATATAATAGTCATCGTTTTGTTTCATTACCTGTGTGTTCCTCTTGTTAGATTACTTTTTTAGTTGTTGTAAAATAACATTTTTCTCTCCTTTCTTTCCTTTTGTTTAGTAGTCATTAAAGAGTTGCCAACACTTTAGTTTTATAAAAAATTTAAGGAATAGAAATCCCAGATATTTTTATTTGTAACATCCATGGTATAATAATAGATGGTAACAGCAAGTGTTGTTGTACAAAAAACGATACAACAACCACATGGAAATTTGTTGTTGTAAGTTCTACTAGTGTCAACTCATTTGACAGAAAAATGTAAACAAACAAACAAATTATCATCCAATTATTTTTATTTTGAAAATGAAATATTTTCGAATCCTCAAAATAAAAAAATTTTTTCTTCAATGTTCGAAGATCTTGAAGAGTTGTGCCATCGCCGTCAGTTTATGGAAAGAAAAGCAAAAGATCTACGAAAAAAGGCGCCAGGTAAAACTTTGCCTAGTCTTAAAACCTTGGTTTCTGCTGAGAGTACTGTATCACGAACAGTTTCTGAAAGTGTCATAGATACAACTGAATCTGTTCGTGGCCAGTCGTATGCTAGTGTTGTGACGGAGGCAGCTACCGAAGTCAGAAAAGATACATCGGAAGGAACAATAACCCCTAAAACCATAAGTGTTGCTATCCCCAGATTGGAGACAACTACTCATTGAATAAAGGATTTATCACTTCCTTTATCTGACGCGTCTTCAGTGGCTGCTCCCGTGGCTTCAACTGGTATAATCCCACAAACTTCACAAAGACCATTAGTAACGGTTCCAGCCATGAAAATGGTATTTGTATCTAGGTTTGCACCGGATATGATATAAATTATTATATTAAATCAAAAATTGATCGAAGTTACTTTTTACGATGCTTTAAGCTTCGATCAGTTTATTCAGAGAGTTGAGTTGATCTCGAGAGATTTTTGGCCTGCTAGAGCATTCGTAAAAGAATTTCTAGAAAGGACAGCAAATTTGGCTCGATTGCCTCGTAAACCAGAAACGACTTCAAAAAACTAAATAATTTTCTTACTATTTGCTACCTGAATGTAAGAGGGTTAAATACAAAGTTAACTCCTCATCGCAGTCGACGCCAAATATTCGACTAATGTAATTCAATTAAATCATTTAATTGATATAGAATTTCTCGGCATATCCATTGAATTAGGTAAATTTAAATTATTCGCCACATGTTCATACATTCCTCCTTCATCACAGCTTGATATTTATATTCAGCATATATCAGCAATACAATCCATAATTAATAATATGAATGATTCGGGCCGAATATTGTTCTTGGGGATTTTAATTTGCTATCTGTTAAGTGGCTTTCATTGCCAGAGTCAGAAGCTCTTACTCCATTGACATCTGATATAAATTTACTTCTGAAATAACAAGATCTTTCTTCGTTTAATCCTACAAATTTGAAATAATATAACACGTAGTATAATTTTCAATATTGTGTAAGTGTAATCGAAGCAGTACTTCGACCAGATGTAGCCACATCAACAAATGTCATGGGAGCGACATTATATTCCGGAATGCCTGCTCCGAGCACTTTTGGTCCATGCTCCGAACCTTGGTTCTGTAGGGTTTTTCAAAACCGCATGCACCACTGATCTATCTCTGTGAGATGCAATGTTGCGTCATGCTGTGCAAGCACATCTCACATTGTGACCCAGTCCTCGTCTTGCTAAGGCTAGACTCCAGTGGCCCATACATTAAATTTATGGGCAATAGTAAGTATAGAACTTCTGAGGTTAAGGTGCTTAATGTATACATATCGCCGACATACTGTTCACCACATGAATGGCTGAAATGAAGCTCCCGTTGAACATAATTGATGATAGATTGTCGAATAAAAATCACTCGATTTCGAAACTCTTATTTTGAACCAAGGATGCATGATCCAATAAACAGGTCGTGTCAGAAGCAATCGTTATCGACAATTTTGGAGTAAAATCCCCCATACTGTCAAATATTTTGTTTACGTTTTCACACAATTTAGTCAAAATCGAAAGCATTTCGACAGCTCGGGTGAAATCATCTGGCCTTATCGGACGACCCTATTATTGGATCATGCAAGGATGAGTGCGAATGTCTCCATATCTAACAAATGTCCAGTATGTGAACTAGGACAAACGATACGTTGCACCTATTTAATTGCGCAGCTAATCCTACTCACCTGTCTCTAAATTCCCTATAGACGCAGTCCAAGCAGGTTGCGACCTTTACTGAATTTGAATACAGAACCAGACAGCACATAATAATCGCCTTCTTGTATTCGCTTGTTGCAACAAAAACTTTGGTTTTGTCGAAAGTCGATCATTTACTTTAAAATTGTGCAGCATCTACAACTGTGTCAGCTGGGTACGGACAGCGAAGAAATGTTTGGATATATATCTTTTTTATAAACATAAACTAACTTGGTGTCATTCGCTCTTACAAACAAAATTTATTAAAATGCAAATATATTAGATATTTTCAGTTTCATGACAACATCGGTTTATTTAGGTGAATGTTCAATATGTTTATATTGAATTTTTAAAGCAAGATGTTACTTTTATTTTAAAACTACAACATACCAAACAATATCAAATAATTTTAAATTCATAGATATTGAATAAAAATTTAAAATACACAGAGCTTTTCTTTTGTTTTTCGTGTATTTTGTTCCTGTGAAAGGTACCTTTGTTCATCTTTTAACGCTCTTAATTCATTGTTTTTTGATTGCAACTTTTTCTTTAGACGAATAAATATTTCAGAACTTTCATCAGTGTTACGCTTCAACGATTTTTGAACTTCAGCTATTTCCCGTTCTTTGCGACGAATATCATCTGCAACTTTCACACTTTCTACATTTAGAGATTTCGATGAATGACTTTCCAAAGCTTTCTTTTGTGGCTCAGTGTTATCCGTTGGTTTTGGTGATGCTAAAATATTGTCATTTATAAATGAAAATACATCAACATGCTTTGTGGCTCTTTCACAAGCTTTTATACTAGCGGCTACAAGCTTTTTTCGTTCCTTTTCCATTTTTTTCTCGGCGTTAAAAAAATCGTGGCCACCATTTGCTGCCTCACGGAGTTCCATGCAGTGGTCAAGCGACCTACCAGGAGGTAGTATTTGAGCAGATATAGGCGTAATGATTCCACATCCATCAGTACCCAACCCTGAGCCATAAACATAGCCCATCTTAGCCATTAGTTTGGAGCCAATACCCTTAAATACAAAGTCAAAGTATAAAGTACTGTACTGTATTTTTATCGAAAACAGTATACCCGTGTATGTTTTTCCCAAGCTCCAAGTGGTTGTGTTAGTTCATATGTAAAAGGATTATTAAGACTAAAGTTATTATCGGTAAATTGGGATGGAAAATCGGCTTCGCTGTCTGTATCATCACTTGAAGAATCTTCGTCATCTGCAAAGAACAATATTTACAAGTTAATATCGAAATAATGTTTTTATGCAAAAATGTTTTTTAAATATCGCGTACGTATATGTCCGTAACTATACACCTATATAACATTTAAACAACTGCATTAAAATGTTTTTTCGTTTTTATTTGCGAGATTCACAATAAATAAATATTTATAGCACACGTCGCATGGTATGTATTTTTGATTTGATTTTTTAATTGTATGTTCTAAAAAAGTAGAGGTGGGAGATTATTAGTTTATTATATATATTTAAACATACATGTGATTCATTTATGATTGATCTTTAAGCCTTCCTTCAACACGAATGAATAAATAAAAATAAATGTTAATTTGAACGTATGGTATGAATTTTACTATGACAAACCAATATTCTATTAATTTTATTTCTTTATGGACCAAATATATGCATGTTTGAATACAATGTCCACAGTTTTGTCCCGTTTCACTAGTAATCTTTAGAGTTTCCATAGAAGGTAGGGGAATAAATTACATTCCCTAATGTGGTGCGTTGGCATAATAGGAGTATCCATAGTACTTCGTTCATAGAATTATCTAATATTTTAAAGGTTATTCATTTCAATTATATTTTACATTACAAAAAATTAATTACCAACAATTGAAAAAGGCAAGATCGCATTTTATATTAATTTCTACCAAAAATCACAACTTTTGGCTTTAGCCTCTATTAACTCTTTTTTTTTGCTCCTATGTGTTTTTTAGCAATGTACATTAAAAGATTTATCGAGGATGGCCCAACCAAAAAATTCCCATCACTGTACAAAAGGGGTTAATACCATTATTATTTTTTTCATTTTGGGACAAAATCCGATCGATATTAAGACTGGTAATAAAATCTTGTTCAAACAAAATACATTTATAAATCTGATGATTGCATATGTGGTTGCATATTAGAAATGTGTTATATTGCTGGAACTTATATTTTTGAAATAAACACAATGTCTTACCATAAATAAGGGGTAGCAAATCTTCAAACCGAAAATCATTTTCTTTGTGTTCCTTTTTAGTGTTATCCAAGCGCACTCTACATTCTTTTTCCACATAGTTTGCGCATAAAACACGTCCTCTATGCCACAGACCATCTTCCATTTTTGCTAAAACAATACAATTTCTTGACAATCTCGAAAAGTCTGGCTGAGCATATTCTCGCAAAGACGAAGCTGAAACAATTTCGCCATGGGAATAATGACATTTTTCACTGTCAAAACGACAATTGCCTTCTAAGAAGAACGAACAAGGAAGCATTTCCTTATGTGTAGGGTTTGTAAAGAGAATCCGAAACTGTACATCTACATTTCCAGCATCATCTATAGGAGCTTCCTCCTCAATGCTGCAAATAATGGCGTTGTGGTAACCCACAGCACCCCAGGCATGTTTATGTGGGGCACTACATTTCTCTCCAACCATTTTTTCACATTTTTCCTGCAATTACAAAATGATTATGCCTATTTTGCTATTTAAACCTTAATCCATACCCTTAAGATGCGCAGATTCTCGAAATGATCAATTTCTTGAATTTCGCATTGAAACTTTTTCATCTCATCATCTAATTCATCGTTATTGGTAGTATCGTCGTTACCCTTCTCTTCATCTTTGGTAAGTTGGGTAAGGGCTAAAAGTTCTATCAAGTTTTCCTTCAGAGCAAGGAGTTCCTGACGCTCATTTTCGTCTTTTGTTGATAGCAAGGCCTGTTCCACCGAGAGTAACTAAAAAAACAATAATATTCAAATCCGTTTAGAGTATCTGATAATCGTTACCTGCATTTCATATTGTTCCATTGCTCGGTGATATATGAAGCACTTTCACTGTCAAAATGGTTTTAGTCATAGAATTTCCTTAGTGTGTTTAAATAGTGATAGACAGGATGTGTTATTCCAGAGAGACAATAACAGAATTGCCTATATTGGATATGTTTTATATTGTTTGTACAATGTACATAGTTCAAATGAACTATTCCGAAATAGGAACCATCGGTACTAGGTCTGGCCCTTTAGTTCACGCTGTTATATTTGCTCTCGTTCACACAGAATTTTTAAATAAATGGCCTTCATCATGATGCAAGGTGATGTGTCAAAACAAAAACCTTTGTTTTTGTCTCGATTATCTGTCAATTTTGTCCACATAATATTTCAAATGGTTGGCAACACTGCACATTGAATTCAAGTAGAAATTACCCACTTTGACAGTTAATCTACACATCAGCTGCGCTAAAAGGACTACCTATTCATTGTGCCATGGCCTTCATATTCGAGCCGTCAATGTCATATGTACTGTCAAATTTTACATATGCTTGGCTGATACGAAAAATTGCATCTGTTAAAACGATATGACAACTAATGTTAATTTTTTTAGTTTAGGGGCTGCTCTATTTCTTTATGTAATTTCATGTCTAAGCCAAATAAATCAGCTGTTTACTTGCAGAAGGGAACATGCAAACTATTTATTTGTTATTTATTTCCTTTATTATTATTTATTTATTGAAACCATGGTACAATGATATAAAGTATGGCATCTTGAGATGAATAACAACAAATCAACTATGTGGGTAGTGGCTTCTTATGTCAAATATAAAAAACGAACGAATATAAAATACGAATCAAGTGGTTAAGTTTATTTGATATTTTGTCAACCCATAATTAAACACGTGAAAATGTTTGCTTCATCCATAAAAAAATAATAAGTTCCACGCGATCGCGGCAAAAAACATTTTTGTTTCAATTAAATTAAGATGTATTTTTAATTTATTTGACATACCATTAACAACTATACATACGCAAATGGTCTGTTCCAGTAATTTTTTAATAGTAAAGTAATAATAAAAGGGAAACATTTCAAAATCGCTCTCAGAGTACAAAATATTTCAAAATAACAGCCAATCAGAAGTAGGCATTCCTTTTTACCATTTTTACTCGGCCAAATTTCTCGAGTAAAAAGTTTACAAAGAGAACGCCATTTTGTTTTGTGCTCTCTTAAATTTGATTCCATGTTTTACCAGTTTTGTGGGTTCAGGAACAGTTTTCGAGTAAAAGTTTGAAAACTTGTAAAATTTATTAGTTTCTGGAACGGAACTAAAATTTTTTGATTTAATAGAATAATGTCATGTACAGACGATCGTTGTTCGCTCTCTCATTCGTTGTTCGACCCTTTATTATGAAGTAATTACTTAGTTTCCCATACACAATTTTGTGAGCGAACGCCTACTTTTGTACGTTGTTCAATTCTTATCAATCTCTGAATAATCTCAATCTCTGAATAACAAGGAAATTGTCCCATCCCTAACAATTGAGAGTATTTATCGAAAATAAATTAATTTTGACAACTTGAAAATATTTATCAAATTTTCAAACTTTTTCAGACAAATTGAAAATGATGAATGAAAAGTAAAATATTGTCTATGCAAATTGTATGCAGAAGGATCTAAATTTAGTCGTCTACATAATGCAATATACATGTATTTCCCTTTTGTTCTAATTAGCGTACAAAACAAGAAACAAATGTGGGGCCACCCAAAAAAATCTCCAATTTTTTATATGTGACATTTAAATTGAGAAAATATAAAAATGTATCAAAACAACAATATTTTCAGAAAAAATGGAAAACCTGAATTAAAAATTAAAAGATATAGGTTCATACTATAGTCAGGAGAAAGAGAATTATTTTTTATATTGTTGTGTAAAACAAGAAACAAAAAGTGTCAATTTTGTCCACATAATATGATGTGTCAAAACAAAAACCTTTGTTTTTGTCTCGATTATCTGTCAATTTTGTCCACATAATATTTCAAATGGTTGGCAACACTGCACATTGAATTCAAGTAGAAATTACCCACTTTGACAGTTAATCTACACATCAGCTGCGCTAAAAGGACTACCTATTCATTGTGCCATGGCCTTCATATTCGAGCCGTCAATGTCATATGTACTGTCAAATTTTACATATGCTTGGCTGATACGAAAAATTGCATCTGTTAAAACGATATGACAACTAATGTTAATTTTTTTAGTTTAGGGGCTGCTCTATTTCTTTATGTAATTTCATGTCTAAGCCAAATAAATCAGCTGTTTACTTGCAGAAGGGAACATGCAAATTATTTATTTGTTATTTATTTCCTTTATTATTATTTATTTATTGAAACCATGGTACAATGATATAAAGTATGGCATCTTGAGATGAATAACAACAAATCAACTATGTGGGTAGTGGCTTCTTATGTCAAATATAAAAAACGAACGAATATAAAATACGAATCAAGTGGTTAAGTTTATTTGATATTTTGTCAACCCATAATTAAACACGTGAAAATGTTTGCTTCATCCATAAAAAAATAATAAGTTCCACGCGATCGCGGCAAAAAACATTTTTGTTTCAATTAAATTAAGATGTATTTTTAATTTATTTGACATACCATTAACAACTATACATACGCAAATGGTCTGTTCCAGTAATTTTTTAATAGTAAAGTAATAATAGGGAAACATTTCAAAATCGCTCTCAGAGTACAAAATATTTCAAAATAACAGCCAATCAGAAGTAGGCATTCCTTTTTACCATTTTTACTCGGCCAAATTTCTCGAGTAAAAAGTTTACAAAGAGAACGCCATTTTGTTTTGTGCTCTCTTAAATTTGATTCCATGTTTTTTACCAGTTTTGTGGGTTCAGGAACAGTTTTCGAGTAAAAGTTTGAAAACTTGTAAAATTTATTAGTTTCTGGAACGGAACTAAAATTTTTTGATTTAATAGAATAATGTCATGTACAGACGATCGTTGTTCGCTCTCTCATTCGTTGTTCGACCCTTTATTATGAAGTAATTACTTAGTTTCCCATACACAATTTTGTGAGCGAACGCCTACTTTTGTACGTTGTTCAATTCTTATCAATCTCTGAATAATCTCAATCTCTGAATAACAAGGAAATTGTCCCATCCCTAACAATTGAGAGTATTTATCGAAAATAAATTAATTTTGACAACTTGAAAATATTTATCAAATTTTCAAACTTTTTCAGACAAATTGAAAATGATGAATGAAAAGTAAAATATTGTCTATGCAAATTGTATGCAGAAGGATCTAAATTTAGTCGTCTACATAATGCAATATACATGTATTTCCCTTTTGTTCTAATTAGCGTACAAAACAAGAAACAAATGTGGGGCCACCCAAAAAAATCTCCAATTTTTTATATGTGACATTTAAATTGAGAAAATATAAAAATGTATCAAAACAACAATATTTTCAGAAAAAATGGAAAACCTGAATTAAAAATTAATAGATATGGGTTCATACTATAGTCAGGAGAAAGAGAATTATTTTTTATATTGTTGTGTAAAACAAGAAACAAAAAGTGTCAATTTTGTCCACATAATATTTCAAATGGTTGGCAACACTGCACATTGAATTCAAGTAGAAATTACCCACTTTGACAGTTAATCTACACATCAGCTGCGCTAAAAGGACTACCTATTCATTGTGCCATGGCCTTCATATTCGAGCCGTCAATGTCATATGTACTGTCAAATTTTACATATGCTTGGCTGATACGAAAAATTGCATCTGTTAAAACGATATGACAACTAATGTTAATTTTTTTAGTTTAGGGGCTGCTCTATTTCTTTATGTAATTTCATGTCTAAGCCAAATAAATCAGCTGTTTACTTGCAGAAGGGAACATGCAAATTATTTATTTGTTATTTATTTCCTTTATTATTATTTATTTATTGAAACCATGGTACAATGATATAAAGTATGGCATCTTGAGATGAATAACAACAAATCAACTATGTGGGTAGTGGCTTCTTATGTCAAATATAAAAAAACGAACGAATATAAAATACGAATCAAGTGGTTAAGTTTATTTGATATTTTGTCAACCCATAATTAAACACGTGAAAATGTTTGCTTCATCCATAAAAAAATAATAAGTTCCACGCGATCGCGGCAAAAAACATTTTTGTTTCAATTAAATTAAGATGTATTTTTAATTTATTTGACATACCATTAACAACTATACATACGCAAATGGTCTGTTCCAGTAATTTTTTAATAGTAAAGTAATAATAAAAGGGAAACATTTCAAAATCGCTCTCAGAGTACAAAATATTTCAAAATAACAGCCAATCAGAAGTAGGCATTCCTTTTTACCATTTTTACTCGGCCAAATTTCTCGAGTAAAAAGTTTACAAAGAGAACGCCATTTTGTTTTGTGCTCTCTTAAATTTGATTCCATGTTTTACCAGTTTTGTGGGTTCAGGAACAGTTTTCGAGTAAAAGTTTGAAAACTTGTAAAATTTATTAGTTTCTGGAACGGAACTAAAATTTTTTGATTTAATAGAATAATGCCATGTACAGACGATCGTTGTTCGCTCTCTCATTCGTTGTTCGACCCTTTATTATGAAGTAATTACTTAGTTCCCCATACACAATTTTGTGAGCGAACGCCTACTTTTGTACGTTGTTCAATTCTTATCACTCTCTGAATAACAAGGAAATTGTCCCATCCCTAACAATTGAGAGTATTTATCGAAAATAAATTAATTTTGACAACTTGAAAATATTTATCAAATTTTCAAACTTTTTCAGACAAATTGAAAATGATGAATGAAAAGTAAAATATTGTCTATGCAAATTGTATGCAGAAGGATCTAAATTTAGTCGTCTACATAATGCAATATACATGTATTTCCCTTTTGTTCTAATTAGCGTACAAAACAAGAAACAAATGTGGGGCCACCCAAAAAAATCTCCAATTTTTTATATGTGACATTTAAATTGAGAAAATATA